CTCAAAATCCTACATTTTGCATTACTCTAATATTTATAATAGGTTTTCTCTATTGTTGTATACATTTGCGCACAAGATGTGTAATTAATGCACATTATAAACAAAATCACGAAACTATAATTTTGCCATCATTTTGTTTACTATTCAAATATGTATTTATAACAGGTTTTCCCAATGTTATAAATTTTCGCATAAGAATGTGTATCAACGAATATTATGAGAGAATGTGCTAAAATATTATTTAGAATTGCCAAAGCCAATTAGCTGCAAATGACTCATATACAGTTTTGCACGTCAATAATCAAAAACATAAATAATTCACATAAATACACAAATACCGTATATAATTTCAAAATAGGAGTTTCACTAATTAGTAGAATAAACAACGCAATACTTTGTACAAAGAATCAATCCCATATGACTCAAAATATGTATGTTTGTTAGTGGTATTTAATTTTAGTACCGGTTATGATTTAATTGAGATAAGCCGATGGAAGCCTCTCAGAAATATAATATAAAGCACAACAAATGCTACTACACGGGTCGCCCACAGAAACTTTAATCACTTCTAAATTCGTTCCTCTTGGAATCGATGATTTGTCTAGGAAAATAATAAAAGAGCTGCAAGATTGAATCAGGAGTTGTAGATTCAATATCCGCCTCGGACAACCTGATGTCAAGCAGTAGTGACATCGGTTTTCGCTTGAAATATAGATAGCAAATTGTATCCAAATAAAAATAGCCCTTATCCGGCATTGCTGCACTAATAAAAAATTCCAAGAGATAGATACCATTTGGTGGACATATATAAAGCAGCCAATCGCCTTTTTGAGGATTTATAGGAAACGAAATAAATATTTAATTGAAACGAAACTTTCAGGATTTATTGATATATATCTCAACATTCTTTTCAATTTTTTTCATTAAAATATATGTCATAATATGCCGGGTACAAGCATTTTGCCAATGCGCCACGAACGTGCAGGTGTTATTTGGCGAAAAAGATGCAGTCACAATTTCCATTCGAAACAAAAAAATCAAAACAAATTTACATTTTCACTAGTTTAGATTCTAGTTAAAAATAATCCAGTCATTTAAGCTTACATTAGGTAATAATCTCGGAATTCGAGATACCCATCTGTAAGTCTGTAAATACTTGTATATTGACACCCTAAAAGTTGTCTCAAAACCTACATAAACCATATGTAGGTTTTGAGACAACTTTTAGGATGTCAATATGAAGTATTCACAGACTTACAAGGTATCTCGAATTCCGAGGTGAACTTACTATAATGACTGGACTATAAAAATCCAAACAAAAAGTGAGAAATTCACCAATTCTTCGCAACTTACAAATAATGTTTTTTTGATAAAATTTTTACTTTAGGTTGTTTAAAAGTGGGTTCCATCATTACTTTTTTTTAAGATTTTTAGGTTCAAATAGAAGAGAATTTAATACTGAATACAATCAATTTTGTCTCGTTTCGATAAGACGTTCAATTTTTTTGGCACCTTTCCTGCCAATTAGTAGTAAAACTGAAAAAATGAAAAACCGAGAAATCGCTCGTCTAAGTTTTCGTTCCGTTATCTATTTCTTCTGTAACTCCGAAAATAATTGAATTTGTTTCTGAAATTTTAGGGATATATTCTTGGCTAGTTTTTGAAGACATGTTTGCAAAGTCTCTATAGCAGGCTCTTCCCTTCAAACGTAAGAGACAAGTTATAAAATTCTTTAAGTTCTTATTGCTGTTAATATAATTTGCAGAACTAAAAAATTTATTATTGTGTAATCATTTAAGATTTTTTTCTCTAACTACAATCTGATTGCTGAATGTCTCCTGTAGACAAAAAAAAATAAAGTCTACATTATTGATTGTAATTTAAATGGTAATAAAAAAAATCATTCTTCGATTTGTTTGAATAATAATATTTTTTCAATTCCAAAAAAGATTGATTTACAGAATCTGATTAACTCAGCCCTAACAACGCAGTATACGATATGACGCCGCAAAATATTTGTTAGTTCAAATGTAAACAAAATCATATGACTGATTTGCTAATTAATATTAAACATTTAATGATTGCTAAAGTAATTGTTGTTATCGATGTTTGTTAGTAGGTACATGCTTCAAAATTTTATAAAAATTGACAACAATTTTAATTAATAATATTTTATTTTTTTAGTAGCCTGGAATGTAGATGAAACTGAATGGTAGGTAAATGGAAACAATTCTATAAAGTTCTCCGAAAAAATACTAAAATGATTAATATGATTCTAAATAGTTAGAAATATAAAATAGTTAACTTATACAAAAAATAAATAGATTAATTTATATTTGAGGAATAGTGTAAAATTTATCTTTTTGTTTGCTAATTTTTTTCTAACAAAGTTACAAGTAAAACACTTTATAATAATATTAATAAATGCAAAAGTTATAATCGTTATTGCACATTTATCTAATTGATATCAATACACTCAATTGTTGAATTGAATTATATAATAAACTATAATGTATTGAAATTTATTCATAAAATACAATATTGGAAATGGTGAAAAATTTACCATGAAAACATATATATATATATATATATATATATATATATATATATATATATATATATATAAGAACATGGTAATTTCATGGAGAATAATAATTCTATGCATACAATTTTATGATTCACCAGCATTGTAAATATTATATATATATATATATATATAATATGTATTTTATGCTAATTTTTTTATCATATCTAATATCGTATTTCAAAAATATATTTCAGTGCAATATACTGCAATTTAATGATAGTGGGTATCATTATTAATTATATTAATTATATACCTATATATTTGTGTTTTTTGTGATATTTTTGTGCCAATATTAATATTATCTAGATTTAAAGTAATAGTTATGTTTAACATATTATAGTTCAAATAATTGTTTTGTTATCTTCAAATGAAGTATTTATCTAATACTACTGCAAATTCTAGAATGTACTTTATTATATTAAGAGAAATAAGACAATCTTAAAAACAAAACTTAACCAAAATGAATACTTTGAATTGACTTTAATAAAAAAAAATCACCGATGTAGTTGGCAAAAATCCTTCAAATAAAATATCACATAAAAATAATTTAATAATAAAACCATGTATAATTTTTTTTTACTCATTCAAAATCATACAACAGAGTTTTGAGTTATAGGGCTAAATTACACATAATAATAAAAAAATAGTAATCACAGAAAGAAATAAAGAAAAGAAAAAACAATAAATAAATAAATAAATAAAAATAAAAATGAATTACAAATAAAGATAAATAAATAATAAAAAAAACAAGTTGTAGTAATTGCTCCAACAAGGAATTGACTATGGAAAACAATTTTTTGTGTATAATTTCGAAAACACGATGCATACAAAAATAAATTTTAGGAATAGGAAATGATTTTGATTGAAAAAAAATGTTCAAGTATTACAAAAAAAGGTCCTTTGATGATGTCCTAAATATTTGGTGCAAACGCATATATTTTTTTATATGTACATATGAGATTTTCTGTTCGGCGTTGAAATATATTTTAATTATAAACAGCCAATGCGTCGAAATAAAAAAGTATATTTATTTGAAATTGTAAAGTTTATGCAAAAAAAACACGTGAATCGAGAATGAAATTATTCATTCATTATCAATTCACGTGTTTTTCATAACCCAGAAATGTATAATTTTTGGTTGAAAATGTTAGTTCATTTTTTTTATTTCTTCATTGTGTTGGTATACAGAATTTGATTAATTAATAAAATAAATATTTTGTATTTCGTCCTTTGAGATGTGAGGTTCAAAAATTTATTATTGTTCTTTAATTAATTTTATAAACATAATTCATATTGATTTTTATTATTTTTTCATTAACATGTCTCTAATTATAAGTAACAATTTTTATTTGTAACGTTTTCGTTTAGTGTTTAGTGATTGAAAATGTTAGTTCATTTTTAATTTAATTCTTCATTGTGTTGGTATACAGAATTTGATCAATTTGTGTTATTATAATATTGTACTTACTTTTGTATACTTAGTTGAATGATGAGACACATTTTGATCTCGAAACTGTACAACTTTAATAAATATATTTTATTTCGACAAATAGGCTGTTAAATAATGAAATATATATATATATATATATATATATATATATATATATATCTATATATATATACAAATATTTACATATGTTTAAATATGTATATTATGTGTGTGTGATGTGAGAGCGGTACGTGACGATTTCAAAGTGCTACGTTTAATTAACACATTTTTATTCGAATTAGTTTTTATAAAATACAAACAATGACTAATAATTAAAATAATGATTAATACTCAAAGATCTGCTGATTCTAAAATACTCAATGACACATGTTTGATCAAGTGTAATATAATAAATACATCTACGTTCTTGTTATTATGCTAATGTATGTAAGATATGTCATATTTATTTTAGGAATTTGCTTTAGTTTTGTCATTCACAAGTGAAACGATAATTATTCAAATAAACAGTTTTGTGAATTTTCAACAAATTCAATTAGGCTTTAACCTACAAATACTTCATGTACACAAGTCACGTTGTTAAACATAGAAATCTATATTAGAAGCAATTTGAAACACTTGAGGTTAAATTAAATTATGTTTATAAAAAGCATACGGAATCTTAAGTCATTCAATGTTTAACCCAAAAAAATACACGACTAAAGTCACAGATGAATAGCAGCATTGTCATTTTGATACATTTTGATTGCACAATTACAAATGTGCTGTTGCTGAGATCAAAAACTCAGATCATAATTATTAATTTATTCAAATTCAACCGTGATTTCAAATTAATATCGTTCCTGTATCCCGTATGATTTCTGACACAAAACCCTTTGTTTACGACAGGACTGTATCACGAAGTCAAGATGGAGGGCCGATGGAAATCAAATAAGATAAAAAAGATGATAATCCTGAAAGACTCACCTGTATCTAAATCCGACGAGTTATCTTCAATAATTTCTTGCACCATTGTTATCAAATTTTATCACAATAAATTACAAAGGGATAAAATTTTAAGGTTGAAATAAAAATTTTGTTGGAAATTTTCGGCGACAGTTAGAGTTAACCTTTACATTAAACTGTCACTAGATATTGCCAAAATCACAAGCCTGCTGGGGAACACAAATTTGAAAAAACGCCTCAAACGCACAAAACCGAACGGATCACTTAACCATATTTCTCACACGATGTTCAAATTCCGACTGCGCAGCAGAAGGCATTCATACCACCCAGAACATTCACAACGCCAATGCATACAACTCAAAGCCAAATCGTGTTCGCGGACTCTGACGCACGACCAGCGCCGGTAAACGAAAAAAGCGTAGACGCAAAACAACACTCTTATTTAGATAGCATATCTCCGATGTCGTCGTTCAATAATGGCTGACAGCTCTGCACTTCGACTTCTTGACATATAAAAATTATAAGAAACATCCTTAACAATGCAATATCATATATTACTTATAATAATTCAGAATTAAGAACAATCTGATAAAGCGTTATAAGATATTTGAAATAGCTTTTGATCACTCATCTACACCATTGGCTTAGTTCATGACGTACACTAATAATACTTGGAGAGCATTTCCATAAATTAAGTAGTTTTAATTGAAATTCAATACTTTGTAATTCATTGATGATTTTTTTAGACATATATATTTTTTGTACCCTTTTTTGTTTTTGTATATAAAATCATGACATACTTAATCTAACTAGGAGCTAATTTGCACCATACTTTTAAAAATAGATCATGCATTTTCATATAAACAAAAAATCACTTATTTGACAATTAATTTATAAAATTATAATTTTCAGTTTTTTTATCTCACCTTAAACCATTATCTTATTCTTGACAAATATTTCAAAAATTATAAACATTATGCTTCAAAAATAAATATTTTGATGATTATCGTATGAATATAATATATAATAAATAAATAAAAATGAATAAACGAATATGAATAAATACATATTTTTATATAAAAAATACACGTGATAATATAATACCGTATAAAATTAAGCAATTTTGTATAATATTTGTAGTTTAAAGACTCTGTAGTTCAATACAATATGCAATATCATATATTTGAACTTTTTTGTATCAACTGCTACCACAAAATTTATTTAATTCATTTATCAATATTATTTTGCACATTTTCTATATACTTTAGACTTTATTTATGAATTTATGCTTTGTTTATGAATATATACTTTTTTATCTACGGATTCAAATTTAGCAAAGATTTGAACCATCATTTGTTACAAACCAAACCGTTAAAAATTTTTACAACGTTATTATGATTTTAAATTGAAATAATTATTACATTTCATAATAACATATTTGAACAAAAATTCATAAAGATTTTATTAACATTTTTATGTGACAAATTTTTAAAGCTATTTGAGGACCTCTGTTATCAAATGGATAAAGCTGATTATAAAAATAAAACAAACATTTTTTTAAATTTTTGAACTAAGTGATGTAGTAAATTATATAAACAATGGTTTATAAAGTGTAATTTCAACAAATTTTATAAAAATTATGAAAATTTGACAATCAATTATCGCATTAATTTTCTTATTCTTTGTACTTGGTTGATATATATTAAAAAAATTATTATTATTATTATTTATAGTATAATATATGAGATATATTATATATATGAATGTGTTGTATTTGTATAAATAAATAAGTTTTGTATATTATTACGTTCTAAAATGTTGTGCTTTAAATATTTTCTTTCTCTATAATCGCACTACCGACTCTACCCTCTACCGGTCCGCGAATAACTTTCTATGCGTTTGACAGAAATGCAATTACAATAAAATTGAGTAATAAAAATAAAGCAAAACATTCGGTGATTCTTATATAATCATATTGACAATATTTGTTTATGTGTGAATTTGAACACGTCAAGTTCTGACTTCCAACGGACGATTGAATATAAGTATTTGTCGTGTTTCTCGATGATTCTTGAAGAAAAAGACGAAAGAACATTCGAATGTTAAGTTTGAATTAAAGTGATGGTTCTTGTGGACAATGGTCAAAACATATCCGTAAAATGGCAGTGCGTAATATTTTGCTATGTATGCAAAATAAAATGCAATGGCGTCAGATCGCAAATGGCGTGAGGTTGTTAGACAAGTGAAGTAGAGAAAATTAATATACAGTTCCAAATGACTAAAAACATATGGCGATCTCATTACATTTTCTCAATATTGTGTTCATAACAGGATCTGTATTTTTTTCCAGTGAAGGTTAGTTTTTTTTACAACTATTTATTATTTACATAGAGAACATTAACCTTATATTTGTTACTTATTGTATTTATTAACTGTGTTATTTGTGGTAGAGTAGATTTTGTGTTTGAATATTTCTAGATAATATAGTGGTTCTAAGAAATTGAAAGAATGCTTTTAGGTTTTGTAATATGCGATAAGAGAAGCTGTCAAATCGCGATTATGTAGCATATTATACAATACACACTGGAGTGCATTCACACAATTCGTATTAATGACTATTATTTAATAACAGATAGAGAAGTAATCACATATAGAGATTAATACATACATATATATATATATATATATATATATTATATTTTTTATAATTTTAATGTTGAAAATATGTGAACCAAAATCTTCAGGGCAATACATCAAATGAAAATGGAAGAATTTTATATAATCTTTATAAGGCAGAAAACAGAATACAAAATAACTAACCTATAAATCAATAGAATGGATGAAATTAATTGAAGCTAATCTAGAAAACTTGTAACATTCTGAAAAAACATTTTAACTAGAGTAACTCTATTAACTAGAATACATACTCACCATTTGTTCATTATAGTTACTTTACAATACAAATGTCAGTCCTTTCACATTTGTTTTGTGTTAAAGACATTTAATCTGGAGTAACTCTAATAATTAACTAATAATATATTCACAATTAGTTAAGTAGAGTTACTCCAGATTGAATGTAAGTCCTTTCACAATGATGCATGTTCATTTTCTACAAAAAGACGTCTAAACTGGAGCAACTTCAATAACTAATTAGTAATATACTCACAATTTGTTTAATAGAGTCACTTCAGATTAAATGAAAGTCCTTTTATGATGTTGTATATTTTTTGTGTTAAAGACATTTTTTAAAAAAAGACATTTAGACTGGTGTAACTTTAGCAATTAGCTAGTAATATATTCACAATTAGTTAAGTAGAGTTGCTCCTCTTCGAAGGTAAGTCCTTTCACGATGTTACATGTTTCTTATATTAAAGACATTTTTTTATAGAAGTATATTTAATCTGGGGTAACTCTAATAACTAATTAGTGATATATTTACAATTAGTTAAGTAGAGCTACTTCAGATTTTGTAAAAAGACATTTAATTTGGAGTAACTCTAACAATTAACTAGTAATATACCATATTCACAATTAGTTAAATAGAGTTACTCCAGATTAAATGAAAGTTCTTTTACGATGTTGTATATTTTTTGTGTTAAAGACATTTTTTATTAAAAGACATTTAAACTGGTGTAACTTTAGTAATTAGCTAGTAATATATTCACAATTAGTTAAGTAGAGTTACTCCAGTTTGAAGGTAAGTCCTTTCACGATGTTACATGTTTCTTATATTAAAGACATTTTTTTATAGAAGGATATTTAATCTGGAGTAACTTTAGTAATTAGCTATAGTAATATATTTACAATTAGTTAAGTAGAGTTACTCCTGTTAGAAGGTAAGTCTTTTCACGATGATACATGTTTCTTATATGAAAGACATTTTTTTTATAAAAGTATATTGAATCTGGAGTAACTCTAATAATATAGTGATATATTCATTTAAAATGTAGTAGCTCTATAACTATTAACATACTTACAACTAGTTCATTTAAGTTACTCCAATTTAAATGTAAGACTTTTAATTACTTTTTTTAGTTCTATTGATTTATATTTTGGTTATTCTGCATTGTTTTTTTTGTTTTCAATTTGTGGTTCACTGAAGATGATATAGGATCAATATTAAATTTTTATTTGATGTATTGACTTTTGGGTAGGATTTATATATTTATGAGTCCAAATTTTGAGGGCAATACATACGAATTTTATGTTTTTATCTTTTTAACAAGAAATAAATTTAAATTAATCCAATGAAGATGGCAGGATATTATGTCGAAACGTATGGAAGTAATAAAGATTATGAAAGATTCTTAAATATTTATTTGATGGAAAATGCATCGAATTTTCCTGAAGATTTAGACTCACATATTTCAACATCAAAAATATTATAAAAAGCATGATAATATTTATATACAATTCATCATCAATGTTTTTAAAAATCCTTTACATGTAGTATCATCAGTTATATTTTCACTTTTGTGTGCAAAATAATCTTATTTGTTTAAAAATAGTTGTGTTGCTTTACTTATATAATTTTCTTATCTTTATCTTAATTTTGTTGACTGTTTAAAATTATATATATATATCCTTGATTTCTACGCAGTTTTACGTACTTATTAGTAAACACTTTTACTGGTTTCACTTTTATGTAATGTTTACTCTGCGTTATTTTTATATTTCAGTAAAGTCGACCAGTTTCTGACGCGCATACAATTAAGAAATTCCATAAATATTTTCAAAATATTGATTCATATTAATTTGTTTATACGATATCAGCCGAAATCACAATTCATCTAACGTAATCGAATTTTTGTAATGGACTTTGTTCTCTAGTGACTATTTTTGCCATTTTATAATACGACGAGGTTTTGTTTCCATTTCAATAATTTTTCTCAGAGTTTAATAATTGCTGACTGCATTAATCGGTGGATAGAGTATAAAATAACACATCAGCAAATTATGCAATTCTAACAAGAAAATATTAATGTTGAATATCAAATCATTTATCATTTTCATGTAGAGTTTTAATTTTATAGATACTAATTGAAATAGAAGGGTCCAATAAATAAAATTTTAATAATAGTCCAAATTGTAATAAAAGTGAAGATATCTAGTCCAAATGGGAATAATAGACTATGATGATTTTAGTACTTAATGGTGGTTTTAATTGGAATAATACAAATGATAAAATTTATACGGACGAGATATTCCTATATGTTTCCAATATAATTTAGTAAAATCAGTCAATCAATCTTCTGAGTTTGATATTTTTATAGAGCTTGATTTCCAATACTATATTGGAATCATTTAGATCACTATTCTGATCTGGTACTTTGTTGGCTCAAGGGGGCGTCCATTAATCACGTGAGGTTTTTAGGGGGAGGGGGGTTTTTGATAAAAAATCACGAAATATCACGTGGGGGATGGAGGGGTATAGTAAGATATTACGTATATTTATTTTTTAACTGATTTTTTTGTAAAAACATTTTCAACAAAAAATTACTTTATTCAAAAATTTTACAGTTTTTTCACATAACTAAAAATACACATGATGTTTGGTGGGGGCGCGGGGATAATTTTGAATATCACAATGTATCACCAAGGGGAAGGGGTGGGTCCAAAAATCCTTAAAAACTCGCTCACGTGATTAATGGACGCCCCCCAATCAAAGTGTACATTTCATCTTTAAAAAATTTAATTTTGTACAAAAATTATTCAAAATACCTGTTGGTCTCTATATCCGTAAAAGTTTTCGAATATTCTTTTACATTTCACTAAGTTTTGCCTAAACATTATTATTAAAATATATTAAAATTGCAATAAAAATATCAGTGTGAAAATAAATTTTGTAAGTGGTCCCAGCTTCTTTGTAACAGTACATAAAACGCGTCTTATGCAAGAAAGGATATTATACGGTTAATAACAATATGTTTCAAAGTGCAGGGACCGGCATAAAGAGGCGTATTATGCGAGAAATCTTATTATGCATAATGGTCTTATCGGAGGGTGGAACGATTATTAATTAAATATTGTAAATAAAAATACACTACTCTCTATTTTTGGGTTAAATTTATTTTCAAATGTATCGAGACCATGATTTGTCTCATCAGAATATTAACACACTCCATAATTGGAAAATATGTTTAATTATGGATGGTATATCAATTTACTCTAAAAACTTTCTGCTACTAATATGCAAACATAAATCTTATAACGTGGAGAGCTTTTCCATAAATTTTCTTTCTTTTAATTCGATTGTGATTTGAAACGCTTGTATTAAAATTTCAAATTATTTTAGTTTGATAATTAAGTGTATTTAATTAAAAATCAATACTTCACATTTGATTGATGATTTCATTAGACATCAATATTTTTTGTACACTTTTATAAAATCATGACACACTTAATTTAAATTGTAGCTAATTTGCTCCACTTCGACTACTATTCATTAGACACATTTTATAATTTCTTCCATCTAATTTATTACTTTTCATATTTGTTGATCTTATGTTTATTAAACCATTTTCCAGGGTTTAATTATTTTACAATAAGTAATTTAATAATGTGTTAATATGTATATATTTTTTATTGTTAATTTTTTAAGATTAGGCAAGACAATTCACGGTCTAAAAACGCTATATATATATATATATATATATATATATATATATATATATATATATATATTAGGGTGGTACTCAATATGGTCATTTTCGAATTTTCTTGCTTTCAGGGGCTCAAATTCTTCCAAATTGCTAGAAAAAATCCTCTATAAATTTTAGCTCTTAATATTGTCTCTTAGATAGTGTGCAATTCAATCAAAGTTTTGTATGGAAATACCATGAGAAAATTTTCAAAAATTTTAAAAATGTTTTTTAGATATAACTTAGCCAACAAATGAATGAGTTTTATTCAAAATTTGACGCTCTACAAAACAAATTATAAAAAACCTGTTTTGCAGAGCGTCGAATTTTCAATAAAACATTACACGAATTGTCACTTTTAATTCATTTGTCTCTAAGTTATACCTATAAAATTTTTTTTATAATTTTCAAAATTTTTTCCATGCTATTTCCATACGAAGTTTGATTGAATTGCGCAATATCTAAAATTTAATATTAAGAGTTAAAACTTTTATATATTTTTTTTATCAATTTGGAAGCATTTAAGCTCCTGGGAGCAATAAAATTCGAAAATGTCCATATTAAGGATTACCCTTATATATATATATATATATATATATATATATATATATATATATATATTACACATGCATGTATCATTACTATTGTACCGCAAATAGTTTAATGTTTTGCAATCATCTATTGTCTGTGCAGAAATAGTACAGAAATGCGCAAAGCACAAGCTATATAACGTTGTACCAGGTCAGTTATTTACATGGCCTGTGTTTGTGAACAACAAATAGTATTTAATTTTCTCTGTAGAATACTTTATAATAATGACATACTCGAATGCATCTGTTTGCAGAATCATAATCCAATGACGTTGGTTAGTTTTTAGAGATGAATTTTAATGCGCAGCTCGAATAGAGAGGCTCGAATAATAAATGGTGTTGTGATTGGTATTAAGATATATATTTTTTTGTTTGAACAGCAACCAGAAATTACCTAGTGTTTGACCTTTCTGTATATGATGGAATTTTTATTAGATTTTTAATCTAATCCTGATGAGATATATACTGCAGCAAAGTTCCAGAAAGGCTATTTTCACTTGTTATTATATTTTAGACTTAAAATCTGATATTCTTACTGCGTGATATCAGTCTGGCTCATGTGAAAAAGAAACAGGAACCAGTGGTTGCTAGACTTTGTTTTTAATTAAGTTATTCAAATTCTGTAGGGAAAACATAGATTGTAGTAAGATATGATAATGAATGTATAGTTTCATTTTTTAGTACATTATGTTTTTCATTTGTTTTTTTTTTGTGAATGTTTTTTTTTTGAAATTGTACGATAGTAAAAAGACGTAAAACGACTAAATATGAATGGGGTGTACATTATAAATTCATAGTAAACAATATATATTTCATACATTATATCATATCCCAGAGCGGGGCAGAAAGGTCCAATTTGACTTTGGGCAATTATATTATGAAAACGAAACCAATTATATCACAACAATTAACATGTATCAAATAAATAACTATAACTCCCAGATAATTCATCTTTGTAGAAATTTGTGTTTTGGCTGTTTGTCAAAAAATTGTCACCTGATCTTTTTTACTCCATAGGCGGGGTAAAATGGGACGGCCAGAAGGCAAACAGATCCAATGTTTTATTTTTAATTTTTAAGGGATTTTTCGAAATAATAGATACAATATTCAACCAATGTAAAGTACAAGTTTCATGGATACATTTTTTACAGAGATAACACTGTATATAACCTAGATCTGGTATTTTGCTAGAAATATTCATGAGAAGGGTTGGGATTTAATTTACCTCTTGAAAAATTGCTTTTTCTAAATTAAATTACTGTTCTTACTGTTTACACCTTTTCTGAACTATTGAATCTTACTTAAAATTGAAAATACTTCTTATAAAATAATTAAATAACGTATACTAAAAAATTATATTGAGGTCTCGTAAACTAAACAACAGTGCTCACCACCAACAAATTTAAAAACGAAAGAAAATACTTTCATTAAGGATTTTCAAACATTGCCATTTATAATAATTAAGGTGATGGCTGGTTTTAAACATTTTTCCTTCTACTTTCAAATATTGTTGTTGACAAATTTCTAACTTTACTTGTCTTTGAGATATCTGGACTTTTTACTCGCTGACCTTTAAACCCCATTTTACCCAATTTTTTTGAAAAATTGTATCATTAAAATTATCCAAGTATTTGCTCCTTTCTCTACTGTGTAAGCGAATTCCAGATTTTTCATAAGAACGTTTTGAATTTTTTTATCATTTATAAGTTCTTAATTTTCTCTTTGAAATCTTTAATTTGCTTAGAAGTTTATCTCTGATCTACATTTTGATTCAATTTATTATTTTCAAAGATGTTTCTATTGTGTTTGTCATTGAGAGTTAAGTTTACCTAAAAATAGTCTTATATTGTTGATGCTTACAACTTTGACATTTTCTACTAATTTAATCATGATTTAATATGGTGTGTATCTCAATAATAATTTACATTTTTAGAATAAATTTATATGTGTGGTTTAGACAAACATGTTACATGATGTTGTAAAGTTGTTTTAATTCGCGGAGGTTCCTTATGAATTGCAATATTAGTAGTCGTTTTTTTTTGAATATCTAGAACGTGACTAAAAACTTGCAAATATTTTACGTATTATTTCAATAATAAATGTATACACTTTGTATTGAAAATCTGTGAACGTATTTATCAACTTCATATGTTTATCCAACTTATTTGCGCAGTGAATTTATCACTGCGCAATTAAAACCTTCAATACGAAATTTCCAGTTTTCATTTGCGCTATTAAAATAGTGTTAATTAATGAGGAATTCAATAGTATTTTAAGAACGCTATTAGTTTACTATAAATAAATACTATTAATGGTATTTTAGTATTCATTTCATTTGTTAGAGTAGATTAATAAATAATATCGGTTATAGGCTAAAGTAAAAAGTTCTTTTTATCCATTGTGTTTTTTCATTCGGGAATTTATTTCTATTTTTAGAACATATTGAAAATACTTTACGGCATTAATTGCTAGAGTACATTATCTGTTTGGATTCGCACAAATATAATATTTTGGATTTCTAGATGATGTTTTCATGATTATAGATTAAATATTTTGAAACATCCGAAGCATATATCTTGAAGACAGGAAATAATAACGAAGAAAAATTGAAAAATATTATTGCATTTACAGTGCACATTATCTGTTTGGATATACGCAAAAAATAATGTTTTGGATTGCTCGATAATGTTTGTATGATTATAGATATAATATTTTGAAACATCTGAAGCATAATTTTTGACAACAGAAAATAATAACGAAGAAAATTAAAAAATATTTACAGTCTTGTTTAAAAGTTTAGTAATTCATTATTTTGATTTCAATAAAAAACTGGATGACGTATTTCGACAATCAATCAAATATTGTTATAAAATCTCAGCTTCGCGATATCAAAGCCAAATCATAAACATAAAACGAAAAGACCATACATTAAATCTGAGGTCAGCACGAAATCAATTATTCATGTCAATATTGTAACTCATTTATCCATGCCAGCTAAAACATAACAAAAAAATGATCTTAAAATCGTTCTTTATGAGCGCTGGTTGAAAATATAGATCTAAATATATTTACAAGTGAAAATAGCCGCTCCCCCGCATTGCTGCTTTAAATTAAAAATATATCATCAATATTAGAGAAATTCTAATAATAAAAATATGTAGGCCAACCGTTGGGTTGCTTTGTAAAAAGCGACGTTGTTAAGGAAGTTTCATCATATTACTAATGAACTAGTTAAGTCTTGGTTGCTTCAAAAAAAAATAATAATAATTGCAGGATTATTATAAAACACCCTGACTATTCGGAGTGTGGACCATTTTCATATAACATATTCATATGTAAATAAATATTCCTAGATGTTTGAATTATAAGTATTTATTATTCTTCTAATTTTATTCTTTCAGTTCATGCAGAGGTAGTCTCGCAATCACAGTCTTCGGACTGGAATTTTGCGAGGCTCTCATTTTTTGTGGAACCGCAAAGTCACGTTGTTCCTACTGAAACAGAGTCCATCAAACTAAAATGTCAAGGTGGGTTTTCTTTGTTGGAGAAATCTGATTAAAACACAGTTTATTTAACAAATCTCTACAATTACTAGGTTTTTCAAGAGGTACCGATGAGGGAATGAGACAAGTGCCCGGCGATGCCAACAGTGGACTCAACGAGCCACGTACATCAGCCAGCGTTTCTGCAGGCGCACGGAGGACAATTTTCAGCAGCCCCAACTCTGACCTGAACATCAATGATAGGACAAATGGGCAACCTAAACGCAAACACGCAAATGCGTGGAAGAACAAGAAACGAAACAGGAAAACCAGACACGTTGGTACTATCGCCAATCCATTACAAGAACTCACCTACAGCTGGTACAAAGACGGCGTTTTGTTGTCCAGTACAAGTGACGAGCTGGTGGTTCGATTTGGAAATGGTATAGAAAATGTTTATGGAGATTATCGCTGCGTCGCCAGCAAGAAGAACGCTTCAATTGCCTCTACCGTTTCCCGCCTGCTGAAACCAGGTTAGTATTTTCTACAGATTAAAGCATTTGACAAAAATCAGTTTTTTATTGGAACGATTTTTTATAGTTTTAAATCGTCCGGTTGTGAGTTCTTCTGCACCAGATGGAGCATTTATCGGGAGCAATATTTTGCTTTTATGTGATGTACAGTCTATACCAAAACCACATATAACATGGGACAAAGATGGTACACCAATTACGCTTAATAATAGGTTTGTAACAATAATTTATAATAAATTATTCACTTTATCGTTATTTCTAATGTTTACATTTATATGCAGGATATTTTTACTGCCAACAGGCTCTCTAATTATAAACAATATTAAATTAGAAGACATAGGTCTCTATAGGTAATTATAAAATCAATTTATCAATTAACTAATGATTTTGCCCTATTAAATTTATAATTTTCATTTCAGTTGTAGTACCACAAATAATATATTAAGACTAACACAGCATAGTGTTAATTATACATTAGATATTCAAAAAGACTTACCGTATACTGAAAATTACAATTCTACAAATACTGGCTTGAATGTGTTCTGGTCGCATCTTAATTCACATAATGTGAGTGTAGATGAAAATGCTGATATTGATTTACCGTGCGCTATTTCTGCCCAAAATGTTGTTTGGACTTACACTTCAAGCAGCGGGTATTTTCAGCTTCTTGAAAATAAACTTGATTTGAGACTGTCTGGTATTAAAGTAGACCAAGCTGGAATATATGAGTGCACTGATAAGAATAATAGCAATCATAAAAGGGTATGTCTCAAATTATATTATTTATAAATATTTTTTTATAATTGATGATGAAATTTTTAGAGATATGTATTGCAAGTTTATACGCGACCACATTTTATAACAAAACCAGTTGATAGTTATACATTATCACCAAAAATTGTTCGATTTAATTGCTCTGCTGAAGGATATCCCGAACCAAAAATAACATGGTACAAAGATGGAGTTCCTTTATATATCAATGGTCGAGTTAAAATAAAAGCTAACACTTTGGTTATCAGTGACAGTCAAGCTTATGATGCAGGTAGTTACATACATAATAATTATTAATGACAAAAATTAACAAATGATTAAAATCATTTTTTTTAGGAATCTATCAATGTATTGCAAATAATTCAGTGGGAGAAGTTAGTGCATCTGCTATTCTTCAATTTAACAATAACAAAATCCATTCCGCACCGAAGGGTGTTAGATGTTTTCCTTTAAATGACACAGCGATAGTTGTGGAATGGGATAAAACTGCAGATGATATTTTTACATTGCATTATGTTAAATCAGGTATGCACATGAATAGTAGTAAAGTACATATATGGTTTCAGCTTATATAATAATTGGTGTTTATTTTTAGCTGGAGGAACAGAGGAACAAAAATTTACAGAACATCATCACACATATGAAGTGACTAATTTGCAACCGTTTATTTCGTATGATTTTTATGTCAAAAGGTATCATAAGGAAGAAGGCAAGATTTCACCTAGTGAACAATCAAGGATTGTTAAATGCACTCCACAAGGATGTAAGTAGCAATAAATTTTATATTACTTTTTTGATAATTTGAAATATATCTAGTATTATTATATTTCTTTCTTTTTTAGTGTTTGTAACTGCACATACAGAAAACATTAGTGATATCATTGTACGGTGGTCTGTTCCAGAAGTTTCCAAAAGTTCAAAGATTCAAAAATTTCTGTTACAATGGCGTCTAAATAATAAACCAAATAATATTACAGAAATTTTTTTAAATGGAAATATAACAAAATATCACATTCATGGTAAACTAAATTTGACTTAAATCTCAATATATAATTGTGTCTCAATTATTTAGACTTAATATTTTTATAGACGTGAAAGATTCAACAAGATTTGAAGTGCGTGTTCTGGCTTCATACAATGATATTTTTCAAGATCAAGATTTAGATAACATTGATTGGTTTCAAATCACTACTAAAACAAGAATTCAGCAAAATCATTTTAAAATGTCTCCAGAGGATTTTCCAAATATTTATATCGTTTTTCCACCTGACACATTTCAAGTACAAAGTCTCAATAATAAATTTGTTAACATTTCTTGGGAATGCGATGACACAAAAGATACAATTTATCAAGTATGTTATACCGCACAGGATTCTATGTCGTGGCCAGACAAATGTGTTAATAGGTATGAGAAATTGAAATATTTGAAATTGAAATATTAAAATATGATATAAATTTTGATTATTTTTATAGATCTGAAGCATGGATTGTTATAAATGATTTATTAGTTCAATACAGTTACGAGTTTTCCATAATGAAATATACAGACAATTTATTAGACCTCAAGAAAATTTCTGGAACATTACACATTCATAAAGGTTTGTTGTGGTATTTAGGTTTTAATATAGTTTTATATAAATTTATTTTAATTATTTACTACAGCTTATGGGGAAATTCAAAATTTGTCGGCCTATTGGTTATATAATACAACTACTGCACTAGTAAGTTGGTTGCAGCCGATGTATTTTACAGTGATACAACAATATAAATTACGATATTGCTCTGGACCCAGTTTTCTGCAATGTCGCTTTCAATCACACTCAGTTGGAACTTACAGTTCTAAGGTAGTAGAATAAATACTATTTTTTTTTTTTTGAGAGTGTTTTTTGATTACTGATTTATATAATTTTAGATTGAAAATTTGGATGTTACAAATTCAGTTCTTATCACAATGTATGTTGAGATGCAAGATGGAAAAGGGAAACCAATATCATACAAGCTTTTACCTTTACACATTGTACCGCCTGTGGAACCGAATCCTATGTTGGGTAATAAAATAAATTTAATGGCTATATTATAAAGACAGCAAAGACGAAATGCAATAGTAACTGTAATGGACAAAATACTGTAATATATTGATAAATAAGTGATATTAAATCCTTGGTCAATTCACATTCTACAAGTTCAAATTCAAGTTGACCAAGTGCCGTTTTAAGTGTATAATTGTTAAATCTCCCAAATTTTTACAGGTATAATTTTAGGCGTTACCATATCAGTGTTCTTCGTTCTTCTGTGCACATTTTTGGTGTTATGCGGCAGTAGAAAAAACGCGCACACCAGGCGAGCATTCTGCTGGAAAGAATCCAGGCAGCGTTGTTGGAAGAACGATAGATCAGCTTATGCAACAGCAGGCACTGGAAGGGAGGATGATCATGGACATAACAATGCGCAGCGATTTGATTCTCGTAATTTGCGACGCGATTGCACAGAATCGCTGCTGTTACGATCTGAGCCCAATCAGAATATTGAGCTGCAAAATTGGAAACAAATGCCAAACACTAAAACAGCAGCATCTGCTGCAATTAACAACGTCAGCGCACCTACTGCAGCATTAGATCAAGTACTATAATGCATAATTTGAAAAGAATTATGAAATCCAATTTCTTGGTGTATTTATTGGTTTATATTTTCAGGAAAGCCCACATAATATCAGCACGCGGCCGTTGCTCGATGAGATAATATCAGCACTTCAACAATCCGAGGACGAAATGGATATGAATCAATATCTCAAGACATACACGAAACAATCGGAAAATGCTCAGTTATTGCTGAAGAACTGCCGCAACAGCTATGGTCTCGACCGTCCTGATTCGATCAATGGTTTGACGACTGGAATGCAGGTAAAGATCAATCAGAATGATATTAAAAAATCTCAATACATTGATGAAAAGGATGATCCGCACAAAGAACAATCGTTCAAGTCGCGTATCAAAGAAATACTCATAGGGAATAATGATAATAATACATCGAACGTGAAACTGCTTGTGAATGGTCGGAACAGTTGTAGCGTATTTCCTGATAATCATAATTATCTGATAAACAATATCAATGGGAGTGATATTATGCTAAAGTTAGATACGTTAAATCAGAATAATAAAAGATCTAAAAGCACGTCGCCTACAGCAGGTACAAACTGAAGATGGTGTCACCTAAACATTCTTGTTGACAATAAGTTAATGTAGGTATAATACTTAATTACTCGTAAATTTTTTATTGTTTAACATATTTTCAAATATCATTAGAAGTACTCATTAATGAACAAAATACAGTGGTACCCCGACATACGAGTTTAATTCATTACGTAACTGCTTATTGCTCATATTTTTCAATAATTTTATGCCTCAACTCAAGAGACCTGGCCCTATTTTTTAGAACTATGTTTCAGAAGTACGTAATATTTTGTAAATGTATTAAAGTAAAAAATGAGAACTCGACATTTACAATAATTCTACAATGACTATTAATGTATAGTCAAAATTTTAAATGTTGAAATAATCCTCTAATTATTTGTGTTAGTCTAGTCATTATAGTGAGTTTACTTCGGAATTCGAAATACCCAGCTGTAAGCCTGTAAATACTTGTATATTGATACCCTACCATATGTAGGTTTTGAGACAACTTTAGCATGTCAATATACAAGTATTTACAGACTTACAGATGGCTATCTCGAATTTCGAGATTCTTACCTAATATAAGCTTGAATGACTGGACTATGTATGTAAATTGTTACTACACAGTTAATATAAATATATATATATTTGAAATGACCAACAATAAATTAATTTACTATCATAAAACAGACAAAATATTTCTATGGTAGGAAAATCTTTGTTACAACGAACGAAATTTTTCTTATTTTCATTTTGTAATTTTTCCAGAAAATTCTTACTCGCTCAAAGCTCCCATTACGAATTTCGCTCGTATCTCGAAACACTCGCATGTTAGCTCGCTCGTAAGTTGAGGCACCACTGTACATTAATACCCTCATGGCATCAAATGAAATGTACCAATATGCATTCGAAGTACAGTAATATCTTGTTTTTCTGTACCAACTCAGACAAAAGATGAAATAACAAGATTTGAAAATTGTGTAATTTCGTATTTGCGTAAGTTATAATATTACTTGTACATGCTTTGCTTGATTATTATTTTTTATAGAATTGTTCTCTGCCACGTTTCAATCAAATTCAAAGAATAACTTCATAAATAACACTCATAAATATTTGATAATGATTTCTAACAAGATTTTATCAGTGACTATAGTTCATAAAAACTATATATTAAATAAAAAGAGATTTTCAAATATTAATTAAAACGCGTGTCATAATATATGGCATGTAAAAGATCATAAAAGACTGATTAAAGCATTAAAAACTTAGCATATTTAAGATTGTTTAACACGTATCTAAGAATCCGTGTTATTTTCTCAACATCGATGGTTCAGTAACATTGAACATCTTTACTCAAAACTTACATTAACTTAATAATGGATCATCATTTAATAACATATGGAACAGCAAAGTTGTAAATACTGTTTACAAGTAATTTTTACAGGAACCTAGTAAATTTGTAAATACTGTTTTATAAATATGTGTATTGAAGATATAGGCACATAGGAATATATTGTTATTGAATAAAATTCCAAATAGTAAAATGCATAGATATAGACCATAAAGATGTTATGAAATACTTTTTATTATCGGTGTTGTATTTCCAGACTGGAAATTACAAATAGAATACTATTGCATTAATTGATCAATTAATGAACACTTTAGATTAAATATGAATCATTTTGATACTAGATCTTGATAAATGATAGTTATAATCGATCATTCTCATCGAGTCGGCGAATTTTCAACTAGTAAATTTTATCATGAGCTTTCATTCAACGTGTAATTTTATATTTCAGATATTCAATTATTAATAAAATATTTGTTATATAATTAAAGATTCATAAATACGGTTTTCAATTTTTTTTTATTATCAAACAACATTTATTTTAAGAATCTTTTGTAGAAACAAATTAGAAATACTTTGAACTGAAACTGGCTTTGAGAACTTTGAGATATTAGTAATAAAGTTTTATAATTAAGACAGTAATAACGTATCGTATTATAATAATTATTCGCGCATTCCTTGTATATATATATATATATATATATATATATATATATATATATAAATTTTATATTAGTTTTATATTATTGACAAAAACTGTTCCTTATAGTCTGTATATAGGAAAATACGGGTACTAGCATTTGAAACATTTATTTAATTTATAAAAGTTATTGTATTTCTCTTTACTGATTTTTTGCATTTTTGATTTAGTGTTTTATTAGATATGATTATATTTTATGAGTTTATATATAAACATAATCTAACATAATTATATTATATATCAAATCAAATCGAATATATTTATATCAAATCGCATAACGCAATATATATATATATATATAGTTTCAGATTGTGAAAGATATATCATAAAATGTTTTCAGACATCCATTCAATGATAAAAACATTTTAGCAAAGAAAAATGTCTTTATTAAAATAGAAAACATTTTAAGTCTGTGTTTGGCTCATCTTCAGTCTAAATAATTCAAAACACGTGAACTAAGAAAAACTCTTTTTAAATACAAAATATAGTTATAAAACTAAATAGCAAAATAAAGTAATACAAAAACAACATTTAAAGTACAAGTCGAGGCTTTGCAGTTTTAATAAATCGATTTTTCTTTGCTAATTTTTTTATTATTGTAGTATTATTGAATATATGTCTAAAAATATTTCATCCTTTTTTTAATATATATATATATATATATATATATATATATATATTATATGATTCGATTAAAGTACCTTTTTTTCTTTAATATTTATTTTCAACCTATACATTAAGAGATCTTATATTGAAATCTTATGCCGTTTCCTCTGTTAGTGTATCGTATTATTATTACTAATAGTATATAAAAAAGAACGTAATACAGATTTATTTTGTTTATATATATCATTATTTCCAAGCATAGGAATCCGTTAGGCAATAACGTAGGAAATCCTACCTAAGCCTTTAAAATTAGTATAAAAAATATATTTGTTCAGGCCTTGCATTATAGAATATATAAGTTAGTTTATTTTTACATATGTGCAAGAGTATATAGTAACAACAGGTATTTAAATGCTGAAGGGTAGTAAAGTACAAAGAAACTATATTCCAAAGAACGATCAGAAAATGTGGATAAAAATCCTATCTTTTTTGATATTTTGAAATGTATAAAAATCACAAAATATAAAACTTATATCATAATATTGTGTTAAGGAAAAAAGCATATATACACGTATTTATACACACATGATCAGGCAATGATTGACTACCAAAATATTTACGATTAGTTCATAATGTTGAATTCTTTCTACCTAATGTAATTAATAACTTCTACTTAATAACTTATTAACTTAAAAGTTGTCGAAATCTAAATTTTGATATAATAGTAAGGTGACCGTACTTTTATTTTAAATCTGGGATAGAAACTTTTAGCAGGAAGAACAGTTTTTTTTAATAAATGAAATTAATTTAATCATAATTACTGAGTACTAATATTTTTTTCTGGAGTAGAGTCTTTTTTGCTTTTAAATATTGTATAAAATCCTGAAGAATTACCTTATACATCCTTATTTTTATATATAATATAAATAAATAATGAAAATAAGAATAGGTGTTAATGCGGATCTGTCCAGTCTAATCCAAGGCGTATGGTCATCTTATTGTTAGTAACAGTTGAAATATTAAATTAACCAATTTTTTTTATACTACGATCACCCATAACATACAAGAAATGTTAACACAACTCTTATGTGTCAATTAAATAGTTTTTGTGATAAATAACAACCTATAATTGTTTATCTAAATAAAGGCCGACGAGGAGCAGTCCGTTATGACAGTATTAATAAAGCAGCTCGTATATTTGTTTATTGATTTATTAGACAGTAAAGTATATTCCTTAATCGCACTACTACCTCATTGATTTGCAATCTAAGCGAGTTATAACTAATTTTATTTTCTGTATCCTAGGAAATAAATGATTTTACTTTGAAATAATTCATGGAAAACTGATTTCTGGCACAATCTCCAAAGGGATTGTGCAAAAAATCAGTTTTACCTTGATTATTCCGGATTTTTAGGTTACTACTTAATTCTTTAAGCAACTGTAAACATAACATATCAAATAATAATTTAAAATATTTACTGACCTTTACTAATTCGCCGGTTTTGTTGTCCATTATCCATATAATTCCACTTTCCAGTCAATACCTGACATATGGTGAGCTATTAATAAAAAATTCAATTCAATGAATGATGTACTGAACATAAGCGATCGTGAATCTTACTCTTAAGAAATAGACATAATGAATTAAATAATGATTATTATAATTATGTTATGAATTTTTGCAAATATGTTTAAGTATTGATTATGATTAATATGTTAATGTGTTCATTAAAAATATTTTTTGTCTCCTTAAAACATGAAACCAGTTTTGTTTGATAGAAGTGAAAACATTAGCAATAGATTTAAACAACTAATTTTAAGATGAGTGTGTGCACGTGGCTAGTTTTAAAATTATATATGAATGTGGGGTGTGTGCTTATCCATGTTAGTTAAAAGAAAAATTAATAGAAAATACAATGATTTTATTAATATAATTATTTTGAAATAAAGTAAAAATATGCAGAGTACCTGATTTACAGTCGAGACTTGATATGGAATATTGCAGTACCTGTGATAAAATCCAATAGAAAATATGTCATCAGATTCTATTATTATTTTTTAAATCATTTCATGAAATATTAAAATTATTGTAAATCAAAAAAAAAATGAATATAGTTTTGAACAATATACGTACAATGTAGATATTAGATATTGATTTAGAAATTTTGATATTTTCTAAAGAGAATAATTATTTTTGTTGATGAAATATAATAACAGATTATATAATTTAAATTTTATTTTAAGACAAATTATAGTAGTATAGTTTATATTGAAAAATGAATAAACGATTTATTATTAAAAATTGCATTTGTTTCACTGTTTAAAATATGTAAATGGTTTATTATCTCATTTAACATGAAGAAGGTTGTCACGGATCTATCATATCCTGTTTTTTATGTAAGGTATAAAAAAATTATAACAAGCAGATGCTTTATCCCATTTGTCACAATAAAACACATTTTTAAAGTGTTGTCTTTTATAACAATCGTTTCAAATACTTTTATTACAGATCATCTCGTTTTAAATTATTCCTTAACAATAAAAACAAAAGACGTCACAGAATATCTTCCTATTTTTTTTTTTTTAAATTGACAGGCCAGCTTTATTCTCTTATACTTATTTTAAATATAAATATAAATATGTACATTTGTACATTTAATGTAGAAATGTATGTTTGAACACTCAATAAGACTATAATTTAATAGTTTATTGTCTTCAGATGTGTAATAAATTACCTTAAAACTACATATGCATAGAATGAGCCTCGTTAGACTTAAAAAATGTGAACTATGCTTAAAATATCATTAATCTTGGAAGCTTTGTGAAGTTAAAAATGTATAAATTGGTTCATATTATGAGTGAATAATCGTCCTACTTAGAAAATATTATGTACAAGTATAAATGCATCATAAAGTGTTGGAACTCTGCAAGAAGATTGATAAAATCTGACTTTAAAATAAAATTATTTCTTTTATATTTAAAATAAATTGTTTATCATAGATTATATCAATTTAATTTCTATTTATTAAATATTAACTGCAGTACCCAATCTTTTTAAAGGTAATGGCTTATCTTCTGTGATACCTCTTGCTGTGGAAAGAGAAGCAACTTGATCACAATAAACATCAGCACCTAATTCTTCCATATCAACTTCTACATCAGATTTTGCTATTTTTGTGGCTTCATCTACTTCTTTCCTAACTTGCGTTTCCATTTCCTGAAAATAATGTGTCGAACCATTAATAATCTATGTGAAAAGTACATTTGGATTTTATTACCTTCAGTTCTTCAGGTGTAGCTAGTTCTGATGAAACCATTCTTTCACGGAATGAAGTGATTGGATCTCTTGTCTGTCTTACTTCTTGAATTTCTTCTCTTGTTCTGTAACTGGTGCCAGGATCTGACATTGAGTGCCCTGAATATCTATCAAAATAATATATAAATCATCAATATTAGTTTTTAAATGATAAAAACTTGATTATACATAAACACTTCATTACCTATAAGTCATAGTTTCTAAAACAATTGGACCTTTTCCAGTTGTGCAATGTTCAATTGCATATTTTGATGCTTCACGCACCGCTAACACATCCATACCGTCAACCTGAAAAATATGTTATATTAATAAAATGAATTTAACATACGTTTTATCTAATATGTAAAGTGAGTACCCAAATTCCAGGTACATAATCACCACGTGTGTAGTAGTTTGTGCTGGCTGAGCTGCGTTCAACACTAGTTCCCATTCCTAGAAAAATAATTTAATAATTAAAAGCATTTAAGAATAGTTTATACAGATATTTAAGAAATAGGTTGTACCGTATCCATTATTTTCACAGACAAAAATACATGGCAATTTCAAAAGACTGGCAATATTAAACGCTTCGAATATTTGTCCTTGGTTAGCTGCACCGTCACCATATAAAGTAAAGCACACGCCACCAGTATTATTGTATTGAGCTGCAAGTGCAACACCTGCACCTAATGGCACCTTGAATAATAAAATAGTATTCATTTTACTGAAAAATATGTACTTATAAATGAAAGAAGCTTTACTTAAAAGCAACAGAGCAAAACAACAATATGCACACAATAAATTTCATGTATGTATATTAAAATATCTTGCAACAAAAAACCAAGACAAAATTTATATAAAAGCCCTCAAGAGCATTCAATTATTATTTGATATGAAGCAACAGATCTCTATACACAACTATAGAACGTTTTAGATATCAATTACCTGTGCTCCAACAATTCCGTTGCCTCCATAGAAATTTGGTGCATACATGTGCATTGAACCACCTTTGCCTCTTGCACAACCTGATTTACGTCCTGTTAATTCGGCTAAAACTCCCACAGGTGATACTCCCATAAGGTAAGTCCAACCGTGCACACGATAAGCAGAAATGATAGAATCTTGTTTTCTCATAACTGAATGCATACCTAGGTAAGTAATTTTATAATTTATAGTAGTAAATTTGAAATTTTATTTGGTATGCCTAAAAAGATGTATCTTTATGGTAGAAAACTAATTGTAAATAGTAAGTATTAAGGACTAAATCAATAAATAAAAACCAATATGCTAATAATCACATCTAATCACAAATCCTAGGTATTTCTCTAGCGATTTAAATTATCTACAGTACATTGCATGCCACAGAAAAGTTTCAAATTATATGTGCCTCCTAAAAATGGCTGTAGTGCATTGTAGAATAATTTTCTATTATGTTACTTAAATATACGCTAAACAAACACAGGTTTAACTTAAAAATATAATTATGTAACTTTTCTTTGAAAATAAACATGATGTTTTAATGACTTTAATATTATAATTTTTGTAGGTTTTATTCCATTCAAAAAATAATGGCAATACACATGTTTACTTAGGCCCCTAAATGTTGTCTTCACATACATTATAACATTAATTAAACAATTATTACATTATGAGGAAACAATAATAATTAAATAAAATAATGATGATAGTAAAAGTATAAGCAATATAATAAAAAATATATAAAGTAATGTAAATTATAATGAAACGTAAAGCTGAATGCTAAAATGAGAGAGAGAAGAACCACTGTCAATTATCTATTATTACTTACCGACAGCACATGCTTCTTGTCCAGAATACAAATGACAGAAACCTCGAACAATTTTCTCTTTATACAAATTACCAGCAGCAGTTTCCATTCTCCTGATCATTTGCATTTTTCTATACATCTGTAAGGCATCATCTCGAGTAACTTTAACCTCTGTGCTTGGACCAGTTTCCAGTTTGTGCAGCCGAAAGGGCTAATGTGGATAAAAGATACATTAAATTTGTGCTTAAATGGTTTGTATGTGAGTTGTACCTTTGTATTGAATACTGCTTCGGTAGCATAGCCAGCATTACAAAGTGCTGCAGGTTTAACCTAAAAATATAATTATGTAACTTTTTTTTGAAAATAAACATGATGTTTTAATGACTTAATTGTTTGAAAATATACATCACATAAACATTTTACTTCATAAAATAAGCACAACACATTATGAAATAGACAGTAAAAAATCAAATAAAATTTTTACAATTGTGCAACTGACTTTTTGTTTTGACAGCAATTTGGTAAACATATTTTTGAGCTTTACAAATCGTTGGCGGTCAATTTTGGACTGATCACGGCCTTAACCGTGTAATCAAATTTCGTAAATTACTATATTATCATATGATAACTGTTGGCAAGCGAAACTGATAGTTTTGGTGTTATTTAATCACTGTGACAGCTGCAACGACAGTTACGTCAAATGCTAGAACTTAACTGTCAAAGTGACAGATCGACGACGACGACGGCGGCGACGGCGACGGCGAAACAGATAACTAATTGAAATTATGGCGGGAATTTGAATTTAAACTTGGAATAAGTGGCATTTTGCCTTAAGGGGATATTCAAGTATAAAAGTCCCAAAAAATCGTTTATTGTTTTTTTCATATCTTCAAAGCTTAAATATTCAAGATTATGTGTTCGAGAGGATTTTTTAAATTCTAAACTATTTTCGGAGATACAGATGTTTAACAATGATAAGCTTCTCTTGTTTCCTACCTTTTGCAAAACTTTAAACGTGTTTATCTCAAAACTATCTTTTTCAATACGTTGTCCACAATTTCTCGACTGGACCGATTCACATTCTATAGACTTTTATCTGGCATATACTAGCCTCATCCCCTTTAAGTTCTTATTTAAAAGTGGTAAGAAAATGGTCCTTTTTTTAAGCAGCCGCCAATTTGTTCAAAATATTTTTTTATCGTAATCCTAGTATATGCCATTGCGACATCAATCTAGATTAATAATCTTTTTTCACTTCCCGTAGGGTAGGGTAGAGCACCATATATAGGTAAAGGTAGAGGGAAGGTAAATTTAGAGCACCGTATATAAGTAGAGTAAAGGTAAAGGTAGAGCACCATGTATAGGTAGAGATAGAGTAAACATTTACATTCATTTTACCTCTACCTTTATATGGTGCTTTACCTATATATTGTGCATTACATTCACCTTCACTTTACCTCTACCATTATATGGTGCTTTACCTATATATTGTGCATTACATTCACCTTCACTTTACCTCTACCATTATATGGTGCTTTACCTATATATTGTGCATTACATTCACCTTCACTTTACCTCTACCATTATATGGTGCTTTACCTATATATTGTCCCTTACATTTACCTTTAATTTACATCTACCTTTATATGGCGCTTTAGCTATATATTGTGCCTTACATTTACCTTCACTTTACCTCTACCTTTATGTGGTGCTTTACCTATATATTGTGCCTTACATTTACCTTCACTTTACTTCTACCTGTCCATTTTCAATTGAAAATATAGATCAAAATATGTTTCCAATTGAAAATAAGCCCATTTGGGCACTGCGGTGTAAAATGGAAATGGGAAATCTCTCACACTGTTCTTACCTGAATCGAGTTGGAGTTTTTACTCAGCTCACGGACCTGCCTAGGGCAGTACACCCCATATTATTATATTTAGTATAACATAAGATACTTTGGGAGAATAATTGTCTACTGTTATATTTAACAATTATTTTCATTAAAGCAAAAAAATCTTAGCTTTAAAATTTTTAAACAGCATTTTTTGCTTCCTAATGTGTCTTTCACAATTTCTAATATACAATACTGTGACAGTGAACATTTCAAATTTAGCTTCAGTTTTTAGTATTAACTGATGGTGTATTCGTATACAGATTATTTATGATATCAATATAACTTTAAATGGTTTCAAGTTCCTAAATTTTAATTTTAAAAAATCAACAAATTTTTCTATTTTTATTCAAGCCCTGCGAAACATTGTATATTCGTATTGCAAAACTGTATTTCTGCTTTCTCAAAACAGATAATATTTGAGTTTTAAGAATTGTCTGGTGGTGGGCATAGCTCAGAGGTAGCATGTCCGACTCACAGGGCGGAGATCGTTGGTTCAATCCCCGGCGTTTCCGAATGTACAAATATTAGAATTTATAAGAATTTCCATTGTAAGATTTATGTAAAAATAATGATTAGAATGTGGGAAGTATAAGATTGTATAGAATTTGAATTAAAATTAAAAATAAAAATGAATTATTAGAAAGAAGTAAGAAGATAAAAAGGATGGAATGAAGATAAGTTGAAGAATAGGTTTTGTGTGAAGTGTATAGTATAAGAAGAATATAATGTTTATAGAGATTGAATATATGATATAAAAATTAGTATAGAAAGTAAAAAAATGTTGTACGTGGCTAAATGCTCAGAGTGAGAGAAGCCAAATAAATAAAAAAAATCGTGTATTTATAGAAGTTGCGCAAAATTGACTAGAAGTCGCATATCTATAATATATTTGCACAACACAACACAACTGTGTTCTAAGTATAATAACACTTTTATATCAGATAATTATAATATACAAATAACCAGTAATATTTATTTATTTTTTCAAAAATATGGATACATCATCTCACAGCATATTTCTATAAAAACCTAATTTAAATGTGAACATATACATAGTATTATATTTAGTTCATGTACTTGTATTACTTAATAATGATATTTATATAATATGTTATTTTATATAATATTTAACATAGAGATTTCAAGTGCAGCATCTGAGTTTTATTACAGATTGAATTTTTCCTAGAATTAACTTCCAAAGACATCTGCGGAATGTGGCCCCACACATGGAATATAATATAAAATTTATACTGAAATTTGTGTAATAAAGATACATGAAAAACTGTTGCAAACACCATAGAAAAGCTGGAGTGTCTTCATTTCTCCAAAGGGAAAAATTGATAAATACGTAGAATCGCACAGCATAACTAAAAATATAATATGCTCTCAGAATAGTTCTCAATCCAATTTAAAATACATGTTTAAAATGTTACCTGGGCAAATTGAGTAAAACAAATATTGTAGAAATGATGAGTAACATCTTGGTAATGTTATTTTGTGTTCTGGTCGAGACCAAATTTGAGCTCGAGGAATGGAAACAAACAGCTGTAAAAGAAAAAATATATTGTAAAAAAAATTGAATATTTACAAAATAAGAAAAAATACAATCATTATATATAAACCAACAATATAGTATAGTAAATTTCATAGATACTAACAATAAGATACAATTGAAAAATTTGTTTCAATTTTCTAAGTATTCCTAATCATTTTACTCATATATACTATATTATTATATATTACTCATATATAAGGGTTTGTAGTAAGAGGGTAAAAATTTAGGGTTGTTGAGAGCCGCACATTTTGATTGAAACCAAGTGATAAGGGTTGGACATTCATATTTTTTTTATTTTATAGGTCTGTTTTTTATTTTTTATAATGCATATAAAAACATATATAACTCTAAATTTCACCCTCTTACCACATCCCCTTAACAGTGTACTAAGAATTTTTAAACATATCTTTAAACTGTATCTTATGGTTAGTATCTATGAAAATTGGCTATTTTAGTTAAAAGTATGATTTATAGTGGTTCTTGAAATATTTTTTTATAATTTCGATCCGAAAATCTTATTCTGCCATCAAGATCGTCATCTGTGACATTCAAATTAATAGCTGAATGAAAACGTGCGTGTCGTTTATATTTGCGTTTTCGGCTTGATGCCAAGTAAATCTTATCAAAAGTGAATCTAAACATAAAAATATACTGTATCATGACAACTGAATGAGATACAAATTTATCTACAATTTTTATTTGCGTAAATTGAACAGTTTTTAGCTCAACAAATACCCGTTTCCTTGCCAAATTCAAAAGTTAAATAAAAACAGAGTAGATAGTCGAAGTATTATGATTTTTCAAATAATATGTAATGATAATGATAATTATTATAACATTTACATCAAATATTAATTATCATATTTATAATATTTATTTGTTGCAAATAAATATAATTTTTTTTATTATAGTAATATTAAGGTGACCGGGACAGTCCCAGACTACTAGAACCAATTTTTCTAGAACCAATATTTGCCAAATATTTGAAAAAGTTCTTATATTCAATATTTATTTTAAAGATATTAAGAATTAGTTTTATAAATTTGAACTAAAATCGAATCATATCAAAATAGAAAAAAGCTATATAACCTGCTAACTTCAATTATAAAGAAACTCGTCACGAAAAAGATCTAAAGTTCAAAAAAATCATAAAAGTTTTGTACTTAATGTTAGTAATTCTGATTCAATATAATTTTGATATATGTTGATATAATAAGGTGACAATCCTAAAGAATTTGGAGACAAATCATGCTGCTCAACAAATTCGTGGCGCAAGGTGGAAATAAGGGACTACCCCAGCCAATTTAGGATCTTGGCCAGAATTGTCCAGGATCCTGGATTCGAATTTTTCTTCAGGATTGTCTCGTAATTTTGTAGATTCAAATCTAAAAAACGACGTGTATTGTTATATAAAACTAAACCTTACGACAGAGAAAATTGCTGAATAAAAAAATCCAAGGTGGGTTAAAATAACTTCTCACTTTAATAATATCAAAATTTCATTATAAAATTTACAAAAATTTAAACAAATTACATTTGTCGGGCAAAAATGCTTTAGACAAGACTAATAAACACACTGAAAGCAAAAATTTGTACTAGTTAAAAGCGAGAAAAAACATATATCAATAATAATAAAAAGTTTTGCACTCATTATCAGTAATTCTGATTAAAAAAAAATGATTCATTTAAAAAAAACTGATTTGATTATATCATTAACCAGATTGTATCCTTAGCAAGATGTAATTGACAAATATACTAGCCATGCGTATACATCTGTGGATAGTCTCTATTTAGATAACAATTTTTGAAAAACAAACAAAATATTTTGTTAAATTCATTTAGGCATTACACCTCAAAAATAACATTTTACCTCGATTTTGACATAAAAAAACTGTGCTAACTCAATGAGCGTCCCAGAGTTCACTGGTTAAATAGTATTCGTTATTTTAAATCATATTTAAGTTATTTAGCTTAACTACAAGTTGCCGTTCCGAATTTGAAAAAACAAACTGTCATCTCATAATTGCTGCACCAATAAAATGTCAGCCTCATTAGATTAATTCTAAAAATAAAATGATCAAATATGAATGGATTAACCATTGGGTTACCATCTGAAAATATGAAGTAAGGAGACTTTTCAGCCCAACAGCTCATAGGACGTAAGGTCCTGATTGCTGTTAATATATAAAAATAAAAAACAAAAAAATCTTATTATGATATTTGCTCATTTGATCATTTGCTCAGCATTTTTTCTATATAATTCAGACATATCAATTCGAGCGTGCATCGCGCTCTTCGTCTACGTTTTACGATTTGTAGAAAATAATTAAAAATAATGGCGTTAATTAGAGTTTGCAAGAACAGCACATAGCAGCAATTACTTACGGCTGATTCCCGATTGTAGAGAGTCCATCCGTATAGGTTGGTCCATTGCAGAAATAGTTTGCCGAGACGATGTGGAACAGGCCCGAGTGGTCCAGCTGCTCGAACTAGTCCAAATCTTAATTGAATACACATGAAAGTGAGAAATCTCATTTTAGATATTTGCATATGCAAAATATTACATAACACTGTAACTAATTAAATTATAAAATTTGTTGAAATAAGAATATAATTCCTAATATCAACGTTAAGATGCTGTACATGAGGAAGATGATTTGCGGCGTAGACTGCATTTTTTTAATGCAAATATTTCTGAAAATGTCTAAGTTTTAATTTTTTTTTATTATTGTTTCCACAGCAATCAGAATTCATTTTAATGTTCTATAAGCTGATTTTGTGTATGACTTATGACTTAAGGTATTGTTATGAGAGGCAACCCATCGGTTCACCATTCTCCTATGTGTGGGGTTATATATTAGCTCTTACGTCTAATAGTGTACATATGATTGAATGATGCAACTATGTCCACGAAGGACGATTTCCACTTGGAATTATATTGTGATCTATAACCCCAATTAGACTAGACTTAGAAATTAGACATCAAAGTTGCCTGATGTCAGGTTTGGCGGTAGCGGGAATCGAACCAGCGAACCTGGGACTGGTTGGTGCCAGCCCACGCTCTAACCGATATCGCCACCGCTGGCCCTCAGTTTTAATAATACATTTTATTTGAGTCATTATTAGATCTTCTGTTTATTTCGTCCTTAGATTAATGTTTTAGCATACATTAGAAAAAAATTATATACATGCATAATTGGAATCTATTTCTTTGGAAGATTTTTAAAATTACCTAGATTTTGTTTTTAAAATTATCTAATCTTTTGAGAATTGTAATTTTTTTTTTGAAAAAAAAAGGATTTTCTCATTATGTACATATTATAAGAAATTTAAAATGAAGAAATCGGTGTAAAGTGACCTAACACGCAAAAAAATGCATTAAGCATAATCGTCTTAAATGGGATTTATTGAATGTGCATAGTTTGGAATCAAAAATATTGTTTTTAAATTTTAATTTTCAAAATTTTCATATATTTCTAGCAATTTCGAAATTTTTCAGAAACATCAAATTTTTCATTTTATGTATTTAAAATGTAATAATGTAATATATGTAAAATGTAATAATGTTAATATATTGATAACAATTCTTTATTTATACGTTTCGACACTTGATATGTATCATCATTCAGCAAATCTACAATAATTTTCAAATTGATGGATTATGCGTATGCATATTTATTTTGGATGTAAAAATTTTATTTTATAATTTTTGTTATGTTTTGGTGTTTTAATAACCTTGTTGTTTTGCTCTTCTCGGTGCAAAAAGTATATTTTTTCCAAAATGATTTAAAAAAATGTTTTAATAATTTATTTTGATTTATTTCAAGTGTCCCAACATCAATATTAAATCATTTTTATCAGACAATGTTCAAAAAAAAAAAAACAATAAAGTTATATAATGCTTTAATATTGTTTATTTAATTCAGAAATCTACATTTTTGTTGCCTATTTTGAATTTTAGTTTAATGTTTAAAAACTAATATATACTATTTTATATTTTATAAATATTATAAGTATTTTATAAATATTATTGCTATATTATAATTTTAGGTAATTGTTTGCGAATTTTATTTCTTTTTAATAATTTGTGTGTTCTATGCGCTGAAGAAGAATCAAATTGTGATTCGAAACGATATGGAACACTTATTTAAAAAAAAAATCTTTTTAGTTAGTTTTTTTTAGTTTTAATAATTAGATAGATCCGTGTATATTTTTGTGTTTACTAGTATATACCAATCTGACGGTGGTATCGTCATTTAATTCATAATTAATCAATTAGTTTCGGTAAAAATTTGAAAATAATAGTTGAGTTTATTAAATATAAGTTTAAGAAATAATATGTCCATAAAAATAAAAGAGAGAACGTCGCAAAATGAAAGCTATTATTCGATTGATCGTCGTCTTTGCAATTGCACGATAAATTATCACAATTCAAACAAACAATAACGATTCAAAAGTAGGCGCGGCAAAATGATATTGTAAGGGCACCAATATTTATACAATAAAGAGACTTATAATATTTTGTATAGATTCACAATTGCATATTATGACTGTTATAAAAATTTAATTCAAATAAAAAATTATACATTTAAAATAATAAATGGTGATAAATTTATATTTATTGTTCAAATTAATATTGTCTTTAATATTGTGGATAATAAAAATTTTATTACAGGATTTCACGCAGAACCACTTGAGGAATACAGCGAAAATCTAAGAAATAACCAAGTAAAATAAATTTAATATTTAATATAATTATATAATAAAGAGAAGAATATAATAAACTTTATAAAAAAGCACAAAATTGAGTTTAGATTTTGATTATTTTCTAATACCTGAGGAGTCCTACTGTTCGACGAAACTCTTTGCGGTCCTATATGCCGTCGCCGAAAAGCTAAGAGATTTCTTGTGATGGCTGCATTGACAGCAACAATAATCAGCAGAGGTATCACCAAAGTTATCATCGTATCCACGATGTTGATGACCCTCATTGCATTCAAATACTCTGGCAAAAGTTCGCATACTTCCCCATCAGACTCCGTCTCCAAGATACCGGCGGTCACCACTGAATATGACTGTGTGACCAGAGCAGCAATGGTGAGACAAAGGACGATCATTTTCGCCCTGGCTACGGTACAAACATGAGGCCTTTGTAAAGGATATTGTACCGCAACAAATCTTTCCACGGAAAAGGCTACAATTAGCCACACACTTAGGAAACTGCACACCGAACTCAGATAAACCACTGCTTGACATATCCCCTGAGTATTATATGCGCTGGTGAGGTCTGCATGGGCCAAATAAACACAAAACACCGACAACAAAAATCCAAAATCAGCCACCGACAAAGCAGCTAAATAGTAGCTTGAACTTCGCGTCTTAAGCGGAGTATTCAAAAATGCGGTGCAGGATAACGCGTTACCGGCTAAACCGCCGGCGATTACAAATGGTAAATAATACTTATTTAAAAATTCGATATAAATATAAATGTTGTTGCATTGTTCGGCGAAGTCTATGCCATCGTCCGAATAATCTTCTATAGTCACATTGAAGTGTGACATTGTTCTGCAACCCACGGTCGACAAATTACGAATGGATGTCGTAGAACGCGCCGCGTTGCTTCGGGGGTTGCGGATTGCCCATAAAGGGTTGATTTATCGCCTTTTGTCAAACATAAGTGCAGGTGACATCGATTAATATTCTACATAGCTGTTCGATGGTTTAACTTTTTTTGCAGTTACCAAGTGTATATTGAGAATGCGCAACATGGTATTTTTAAATAAAAATTATTCTCGATTTTATTAAGGTAAGCACCAGCACTCTTGAACTTGGAAAATATGACGCGCAATACTAATTTTTTTTTTTTATATATTTCAACAGCGATCAAGCTGTTTTTGTTGAACAACTTAACCTAGATTTTTCTCGAGAAGGCAACCCAACGGCTAATCGCATTCCTTTTTATGTTTGGGTTACATTAGAAATGTATATCTAATATAAGACCATTTTTACTTGAGATCATATTTTAAATCTATAACCTCAAGTGAAAATTTAATATAATGCTGCCTGATATCGAGCGTAACCGAGGTTAGGATCGACCGCGGGACTGATTTGCGCTAGCCCACGTCCTTAACCGTTTACGCAACGGCAAGCTTATATGTGATAAATAATACTAAAAAATATTATGAAATTGCCATCTGAAGATCGTAATATTTTTAACTGATACTTGAACAAAATAAAATCATAACGACGCACAAAATTGAACAAAAAAAACACAATAGAAACCTCATAGAATAAAAGTTATTTATTTTTCTAAAGAAATGTATTTTAAATATTATAGCTATTACACTTTGTTAATTCCATTCTATGGTGCTATTTCAAATGAAATGGAACTGAGAAATTATTGGAAGATTGCAGTGCTTATTTCTATTAGATGTATTTACAGAGTTAGACGTTATGTACATAAAATTATAAAATCACAATTAAAATGATTTGGAAAATGTTGAGTATATTTGAGTTAACTGAACACTTATCGTGAAATTATTTTCTTTATTAAAATACTCAACAATATATTTAAAAATTTGTTGCTTCATATGAATAACATAACAAAAAACATATATTACAAAATAATGAGTTTAGTTTTTGGAGTATTAAATTTGTAAAATATGAGTTATAATACAACTTTAAATGCATTGAAGGAGTAATGTTAAAATTTAATAAATATATATATACACTTAACAGATTCGATCTGTATAAATTTTTATATCATTTTTTTACACTAAGGGCACTAAAATATTAAATATTATTTGTGCGAGAGTACTCTTTGAACTGCTTCAACAACATCTAAAGGTTTAGGTATGGAAGCAATTTCTAAACTTTTAGCATAAGGCATGGGAATATCAACCCCAGTCACCCTCATCACTGGAGCGTCTAAATGGAAGAATGTTTCACTTTCCATTATTCTAGCACAAATTTCTGAACCGATTCCTGAAGCATAAAATTTATTTATAAAATGAGATGATGGCTCAGAATGATTTAATAATTTAATACTTACCGCACTGTGGCCATCCATGTTCAATAGTTATTAAATGATTAGTTTTCTTTACAGATGAAGTGATAGTGTCAACATCTAAAGGCCTCAAAGATCGTAGGTTTATGACTTCACATTCGATTCCTTTAAGTATATAAATATTGTTTTATATTCAAATTGAAATTCTTCCATAACATGTATGCAAACTAACCTTTCGAAGAAAGTTCATTAGCTGCTTGAAGAGCAGTTTCTACAGCTCTGGAATGAGCAACAAGTGTTATATGGTCACCTGACCGCATTATTTTTGCTTTTCCAATAGGTAAAACAAAATCACTAGATAAGGCTTGATCAGATACAGGAAAAGCTTGTCCATACAGAATTTCGTTTTCCAAAAAAACTACAGGATCAGCATCTCTGATGGCAGCTTTTAGGAGGCCTAACAATATTAAAAAAAAAAAACTAAATTGGTACGACATAAAATATCATTATAATTGAATATAAATTAGTAGAACAAACGGATATGAAACATTCTCATTATAATTATATAAATATAGACAGTTGTGTTAGCTAGAGACCATAAATGTGATAGATTCAAGCATGCAATAGACAAAAATATTGAAAACATTAGATTTTTACATTTCAATCATTTTGAACTCCTTGTAGACCAGTTTGAGAAGCGATTTTAAGCCAAAATCTGTCGAAGTCTGTGAAAAAATTTTTTACTTCAGTTTTGAACCTACTTTCTAAAAAGCTAACAAGTAATAAATTATACTGGTAATATATTCAGTAGTACTAAATATAAACCATTTTTCAGTGGCATCTTATTTTCTCTATTCCTTAAAAAATTAGGGATCAAATTCTCATCTAAAAACAAACAGCCTTTTATTCATTTTCAAAAGTAATCTCTTTTGCACTTAATTCTTAAAATCTTCCAAATATTTGTATTGACCTTTACAATCCTCCGAATCATATGGAGATAGCACCTTCAGACCTGGACAATGGGCATACCAAGCGCCAAAACATTGAGAATGTTGAGCTGCAACACCAGCTGCTGCACCATTTGGTCCCCGAAAAACAATTGGAACGTTCACAGTTCCTGCTGACATATAGAATGTCTTGGCAGCGGAATTTATAACCTAGTAGATAAAATGGAATTGGTAGTTAAAAACATAGTAAGAAGGATACAAGATAGATGATAAATATATGATATACAGAAGGGTATTGTTGCGTTAAATATACTTGAAATAATAGGTATTTACATCATTAGAAACTTATCAATTAGTAACCTGATCAATAGCTTGCATTGAAAAATTAAATGTCATAAATTCACAGATGGGTCTCAGTCCTGCCATAGCAGCTCCTACAGCAATACCAGCAAAGCCCATCTCTGTAATGGGGGTGTCAATAACTCTTTTATCGCCGTACTTTTTCCACAAACCCCTAGACACTTTGTAAGCCCCGTCATATTGTGCAACTTCTTCGCCAAGTAAAAAAACCCTCTCATCTTTTGCCATTTCTTCGTCTAGTGCAGAATTTAAAGCTTCGCGTACTGTCATTTGTTGAGCAGAAAGTAATTTCGTTGTCGAAAAACATCTTCGGGGAATATTTTTAGAAATTGAGGAAAACATTTTGACACGCTCTTAAAAACTAGTTACATAAATACTAATCACAAAACTACTTCAAATTTAGGCAGGAACATTCGTTGCATAGAGAAAAAATTTGACAGTTCATTTTTGACGTTGACGTAACCGCCAGCGCCATAGTAAGGGAACTAGTTGAGTGGCGCTAATTTCGAATGGTAAATAATTGAAACTTGACATCTTTGTTAATAAATAAATAAATTAGTAAAACTTCGAAATTACCAAATGACTTAACGGTCGAAGGCCAAATAAATAAAAAAAAAACTTGAACAGATAAAACGATTTTCAATTATTAGCAATAAACAAACATTTAATAATTGTTAAATTAAGCATGTACTTTTTAAACATACGAGACAGATTATTTTTTTTTAATATATTTTTTATACTCTTCTTTTATCTATGATTTTCTAATTATAATATTCTAATCGATTGATTGTATTTCTGCTAGAATTATTTGCTAGCAATGTTATTTTTGACATTGACGTAACCGGCAGCGCCATCGTAAAGGAACTACTCGAGTGGCGCGAATTTCGAATCGTAAATAATTCAACTTTGACATGTTTGTTAATAAATAAATTAGTGAAACCTTGACCAGATAAAACAATTTTCGATTATTAGCAATAAACAAACAAATATTTAATAATTGTTAAATTTAGCATGTGCTTTTTAGACGACTATATTGTACGAGACAGGATAAAAAATCGTAATGGAACTACTCGAGTGGCGCGAATTTCGAATCGTAAATAATTCAACTTTGACATCTTTGTTAATAAATGAAATAGCAAAACCTTGACCAGATAAAACAATTTTCAATTATTAGCAATAAACAAACAAATTTTTAATAATTGTTAAATTTAGCATGTGCTTTTTGGACAACTATATTGTACGAGACAGGATAAAAAATCGTAATGGAACTACTCGAGTGGCGCGAATTTCGAATCTAAATAACTCAACGTTGACATCTTTGTTATTAAATAAATTAGCAAAACCTTGACCAGATAAAACAATTTCTAATTATTAGCAATAAACAAACATTTAGTAATTGTTAAATTTAGCATGTGCCTTTTATTATATTTATTTATTTTTTAATATATTCTTTAATTATGATATTCAAATCGATTGAATGTATTTCTGCTAGAATTATCTTGTTCAAATTTAACCAAATCATTAAAATAAAACCTGAAACTACAAACTTCTAGAATTAAGTTTGACAAGTGTCTAAACAAACAAACAAACAAAAGAGGTAGTGTTCATCTGACATTATATGATATTTTATCTTAATACAAATAAACATATTGATATTATGTGTGATAAGTCCTGAGTATAAATAAATATACAGGATGACTAGAACAATATTACACCAATGAAATATTAATTCTGGTATAGATTACATTGTCACGTATCAGTATTAATTAATCTGCAAGAAATTTCGATAACCAATCATTATCCTTCTTCCACTGAAAATGGATCCTAAATGTCATTCCCCACAGCTGCGCCCCGTATTGCTCCTTGCCGCCGGTGGCTGGCGCCAGTACAATATTCACACGTTCGTTTATCGTTTGACACACGCTCAGTTGATTGTCCAGTTGTTGATAATTCTCCAGTGCGCTCACAAAAATATTGTTTACGGCGTAACTATCGGCGTTATAAACGAAATAAATTGTAATTAGTACCTGTTAATTGTTGTTTATTATAAATAAAACTAAGTGCATCATTAGGCAGTTGACCAATAGACGCCATTTTCGCTTCGACCACTTGTTTGCTGACGCAACAGCGTGCCATTTTTCTACCGGGATTACTTGTGTTTGTAGTCATTGCGGCATTAATTGAATTAGCGCTGGCTAATTGTGAATATGATAGGGTGAGTTATTTTTTTAAGTCATTTATATGTTACTAACATAATTTTAAAATTGGTCTTACTACCACTTTCGATTTTTAATGGTTGTCATTTTTTGATACTGATCATTGTTTACATCTTTATAACCCCAAACACGAATTGCTTTTATTGCATATTATTGATATTTTATGTTGTATGGTTGTATTTTTGATAAAATCATAACCCTAAAATGATAAAAATGCTCTGAAATGTTTTGCGCAATGTCGAAATTCTTTATTACTTTGTATGGAAGATTCACACGGTTGTAAAACCCTTATTTTTAGGCGTGTATTTCTATTATACATTTGTTACTATAACTTGTTGGTTATATTCTACTTCTACAATTTTGTTATATTAATTATAATACCTTTGTTTGCATTATATTCAGTATATAATTATTATATATTGATATTTAATTTTTACCTGTAATTCTTAATCACATTACCCGAGGTGTAGTTTCTGTCATTTTACTGCATTTTTTTTCAAAACACAATTTTCGGAATTTAGATAATCATTCAGATGTTCTCTTCGGAATTTAGATAATCATTCAGATGTTCTCTTCAATTAGATTATTTCTTATTTTTATTCTTATTTTCAAACGTATATTTCTGTTATATTTGTTACCAATATTTTCTGTATAATATAACTTGTTGGTTATATTTTACTTCTACAATTTTATTATATTAATTAATTATAATATCTCTACGTTTGCAATATATTTAGTATATATTTAATATATATATTGCTATTTAATTTTTACCTGTAATCCTAAATCACATCACCCTAAGTGTAATTTCTGTCATTTTACTGCATTTTTTTCAAAACAATTTTCGTTAAGATTTTCTCTTAAATTAGATTAGTTCTAATTTTTTTTAATTTTTAGTCGTGTTATATTTGTTACCCACAACTTGTTCATTCGTGAATCCATTATATTTTACTTCTTTAATTTTATTATATTAATTGTAATATAATAATTTTTTTGCGCTTTTAATTACGATTTTAAAATATACTAAGTTGTTCTAGAGTATTTTGTTGTTAGACAATTTTGTAGATTATTTAATTTCATACAAATTTGCCGAAAATGCTATTTTGTTTGCAATCATAGTTTAAAAGTTATATATTTTAAAGTAAAATGTAAGGTTAGGTTAGGTGCTTTTTAGAATTAATAGGCGTTAAATGCAATTGTTAAGTTTACCGAGTTATTGTACAGTATTTTGTGACTAGACGATGATGTAAATTATTTAATTTTGTACAAGTTTTCTAAAAAAACACTGATTAATTTAATACTTCTACGTTTGCATTATATTCAGTAATTCAGTATATAGTTCATATATATTGCTATTCAATTTTATTTATGTGCGAATCGTTTATCATTCAGTACATCTTACTTAAAATACAATTTTCGGATTTTAGATAATCCTTAAGAATTTATCCTTAGTTAGGTTTTTTTTATTCATTTTATTTAATCAGGTTTTGTGAGAATAAAAATCTTTTTACCTGACAGATACTTGCAAAAGATATATTTTTGGTATTTCTGACAAGATAGAACTTGTACACGGGTCGGTTTCATTTTTTAACTTTTGATTTTTATTTTTGAGATTATTATAATATTTTTTGTTGAATCATTCATCAATGTTTAATATATATCTAATTTGTATCTTATAATGGTATATTTATTAAAATTCTTACAGTAGAACTCCAATTATCCGAACTCCAATTATCCGAACTCCGACTATCCAAATCGCCGATTATCCGAATCACTTTCAGAAAAAAAAAATGTCCAAAAAAAGTCTAAGTGCGCTATTATTCTTCCACCAGCAAAGCCAGTGTAGGCACATTGTTTTGATTTAACTTGAAAAAAAAAATCAATATTTTTCATAAATATCAAAATTCTCAAAAATCTCATTTTTTCAGTTTCAAAAAATTTTAAAGCTTTTTTAAAAGTTTTAATTTTCGATACGGGAGGTTCTAGCAATTTGCCTTAAGGCATCATGCCATGCACCACTTGTTATGTATGTTATTATATTTTGTTATAAAATATCATGAAACTTCTGTGACAAAAGTTTGAGATGCGATTTTATTTTATTAGATATCAATATATAATTTTGCATTCACTTAGAAAATGTACTCTCTGTGTTTTTATTATTACTTATTAGATTATTATATTTTTTTTATTAAAATATGAAAAATTATCTGACATTATCGTATTAAGTTTAATTTTTTAAAACTTGCACAAAATATTTCAGTACGGATTTATCTAATATTCTCCAATACATTTATATTTTTGTTGAGGAAAATAGGTCCCATAAAAAAACGTAACACGAAAAATTCGGTTGAAATTTTAGAAGACATTTTCTCATATTGCATTGAAAAAAATTATTCACTAGTGTTTATTTTGTATTTTTTTTACAACAATATGTAATTTTGCGAGTTAGTTAAAGAAATGTTCTCAATACGTTTGTTAACGTAGGATTGTAGTTTGTGATTAACATCATGAAATTTCTGCGGTTGAAATTTTAGAAGATATTTTCTTATATCGTATTGAAATAAATAACTAGTGGTTTACTTATTTTGTATTTTATTTTACAATAATATATAATTTTGCGGGTTGGTTAAAAAATGTTCTTTGTGCGTTTCTTTACGCAGGATTGTGGTTGCGCCGCCCTTTTTTGGCATGTAAGGAGACCCTGAATCCTTTTCATTATTTCTCCAGTACCTTTTACTATTATCGAGCACCGTTTATTTTAATTAGTCGTGTATCGCAATATTTTACAGGCTTCTTATTCCAATAAAGATAATCTCGATTGTTCTGTTAATCACGATCGAATCTTGGATAAGAATTCGCGGACGACTGGTGCTGTAGACTCACTCTTGACGCAATCGTAACCTTGTGCAGCGATTCGGAACCGTTCTTGAGAGACGACCAGACGCTTGAATACTTCATTGTTTTTTATATTCTTTATATATATATATATATTTTTTTTGCATCGCTGAAACTCAAACATACACGAATGTTTTGCACCGGCAACTTAACATTTTGAGTGTTTATGTTCGCCGTGAAGAATAAGTCTAGGTTTCGCTCATCCTCGCCGGATGCAAGTGACACCGTGCGACGCGGTTTTTTATTATTTAATATATGCAGATAATTTATGATATTGTTTTCGACATGCTGTGCCCAAAATTTAATTTAGGAAAACTTACAAAATT